AGCGAATGAGAAATGCCGATTTTCAGCCTCAGGTGCTGGTGTCCTTTGCTGTCTACAGGATGGGCCCGGCGATGCAAAGTAAGATCAATGCCATGACTCCATTGCCTGCTTTCTGGTTGGTTCCCGTGTGCCTCTGCCTTTGAACAGGAAAACAGAAAACCCCAAATGGGAGACCCTGTGACTGGGAGATGGTCCCTCAATTCAAGCTGCGGCAACCCAGATTCAGGCTGGACATCAGGAGACGCTTCCTTACTGTCAGAGCAACATGGCAGTGTGACCAGCTGCCCGGAGAGGTGCTGGGCTCTCCCACACTGGAGATATTCAAGAGGAACCTGGGCAGCCCTCTGAGTGGGGTGGTGTGACCTGGTGTCCTGCAACAGCAGCGGATTGGGCCCTATGGCCTTCATGGCCCCTTCCAACTCTACTCTCCTAGGATTCCATTTCGGAGGAAAATTTTTGGCCCATTAGATGTATACTCCCCTATTCTTCCTTTTGCAAGATGGCGTACAGGGTTCCCCTCAGCATCGTTTTATCCTCACAACAACCCTGTGAGGTCGCTTAGGCTGAGAGGGTGTGACTGGCCCAAAGGCGCCCAGGCCACCTCATGGCTAAGCAGGGATTAGAACTGGATCTCCTGAGTCCCAGTCCAAAGTTCTGGCTACAGCACCGCAGCCTGGTCCCATGGCTAGCTGTGCTGCCGTTCTCTTTGCACATGCACAGAGGAAAGCTTGAAAAAAGGTGCAATTCCCCATGTCAAGTCTGTTCTCCCACCTCTCCCGATGCCTGTCAAAGGCGACTGGCTTTGTTTTAGTCTTGATGGAGGCAGTTGGCACTGGTCTTCACTGCTGCACTTTATCTACAGACACCAGGACAACAAACTCCAGCAGTCTGAAAAAAAGGAGTTCTCTCTCTCTCTCTCTCTCTCTCTCTCTCTCTCTCTCTCTCTCTCTCTCTCTCACACACACACACACACACACACACACACACACACACTGACATTGGACTCCCTAGCTCCTTGCCATGGAAGGCAGCTGTTGCTTTGTAAATTCCCAGAGATGACTCCATTGTCAAAACACATCTGGCTAATACCCAACAATAACGTGGATTTTAAATAGATTGTTGTTGGGAGTTGATGCCAATATACTTAATTAGTTTTAAAGCATTTTTGCTGGGTTAGGCTATATGGCTACTAATGAGAAAGGATTTATTCTATGTCTACCCACTTGTATGATTGGTAATATAAAGGCTGTAAACATTGAGCCTATATTTTATGAATTATTTTAACTGAGGTCTGGTGTCATATTTGTCCTCTGCTCTCACAGAAACATGTACGTGTCGGCACCAATAACTGAAGTACATGTTTATTCAGCAAGCCAAAGAGAGCATTTTACTTCCAATGACAGTCCAAATCTGATCCTTTGTGGGTAATGTGGTATCATTACCGTTTGTTGAAAATGAGGAAGATATTAATGCAACCAACTCAGTTAAATTTGCAGAAATGCCATTGTTTAAATACAGAATGCTGAGACAAGGCAATCTGGTCTGAACACAATGATGAGTGAATTAAGCGAATAGTGAATTAAGCGAATAGTGAATTTAGGTACTGCTCAACTGGAAGTGTGAATGGGGACAGGCTTAATGTTAGGCCTAAGCGAGGGTCCATGTTAGCGTAGAATCCATCAAAGATGGCTTCTTAGGCACGGTTTGTGGTCCTAAATAAATCCCAGATTTGGCCGTCAGAAAGAGCAGTCAGCCAGGAGAGGCTGTCTGGAGAAAGAAGTAGAGCTTGGGGTAAAGTTGAGATTAGTATGAGTAAACCTGGGCCCCTGAGCACATACCAAGGTCTGGATAAAGCCGAGATTTTGCAGACAGAGCAAACAGCCTACTAGAAAGCTTTCCTAAGATGCAGGACCGGGAGGCCGTCCCAGTGGTGCATTTTAGTCCATTTTAGAACATCGAAAATGACCATTCAGGTTATTTTAGACCCTAAACAAATTGGTTTTATGTGGCTCCTCCATAAATGGCCATATAGCTTTCAGTGGTGAGGTAACCTTTTCCTTGCTCACGCCCGTTCGCTACCGCAGGTGCTGCTTCTTCTTTGATTTCCTGGGGTGTGTGTCAGAAAGAAAGAACAGGAGAGAATTGTTTGCCAAATCCGATACATTCCTAAAAATCCTCTGAGCATGTGGTGTTTTGCAATTTAAATGCACTTAAAGCATAGCGCCATAATGAGTACATGAATAAAATGCAGCTCGCATCTGCTGCCTGATGCTGGGGAGTAAGCACCCTTTCTTGTAGAAAAGGCTCACGTCTTTTAAAAGGAAAAATAAAAGCAAACGAGGATCTATAACCATATAAATCCCCAGATGGCTGCTTCCAGCCTGTGGAATATTTTAAAAATACAGAAAAAGGATTCCCGGGTTTATAGTCACTGGACATGATCTGCCCGACAGCCATTTCGCAAACACCCTCAACATTTTCAAAAATCCGGTCTGACCACTGACCCGAGATGTTTGGAGGCCCCCGGTCCATTTCTGCCATAGACTGGAAGGAAATTGGTATCCATCCATCAATGACAATGAACTAGTCGTTATAACTCTTAAAGTCGTTATGGCTCCAAGTCCCCATCAGCTCCATGTTCCATCTCTTGCAGGTCTCATTGCAAGAGAGAAGAAGAAATCACCTTCTACTTTCTATTTCATATTTTGCAAATTGTTGTGAACTGATTTTAGATTCAGGCCTAAGAGAACCCTGGAACTGCGAAGGTCTGAAGCGTTGACTCTGTTGGCCACCGATCAAGTGTTTCTTGCCAACAGAGCCAGGAAAGGAGGGAGAGGGGAGTTTAAATTAATTATGTGACTAAAATGAAGAAGGTGTCTGAAAATAGCCTAAAGGATGGTGCTTCGGAAAGTCCTAAGACTTTTATTCCAAAACCTTTACCTGCTCTGAGATATATAGATGGGCAAAGTGGAACAGGGTTGCCACCAAACAAAAACAAAAACAGCTTTTTAATGAGCAAACTTCAGCAGGGGAGAAGCCTTGCAGCTTACAAATGCAGCACCTGAGAAGGGTTCACCTGATGAATTTCTGGCTGTTAGCGATATAGCAGCGCTAGATTTTGTTCGGGTCTGACGAATATGTTTAGGTGATGCGCACGGATAGTTCAGAATGGTTAGGAAACTTCCAAATGAACAAGGAAGCTGGATTTTGGTATATCTTTAATAGAAAGTAAATCATACATAGAAAATGGTAATAATTTGGACAACCTTTCTAATAACTAATAATAATAATAATAATAATAATAATAATACGGGGAACACAAACTGCACCGCAAAATCCTTCCACAGTCAAGGCTGGAAAGGAGAAGTTTGAAATACTACACAGTACCAGTGGCCTGAACTGAGACAGTGCAGCTGTGTTGAACTTCTTATTTATTAATTAATTATTTCAATTTCTAGGCTGCTCCATTAACCCACAATGGGACTCTCGAGCAGCTTGCAAGACGATTGAAGCTACACATTTTAAAATCCATAAAAATGGGGCATTAACAGTAAAATCCAAAAATATAAAGAAAGTGCAAAGAATTAAAACCATTCATCAAAATTATTGATGCAAAGATCATTAATCATTATTGCATTAGCAAAATCATTCGTCGTGCAACAAATAAGCGTGATTTAATTATTTATTGATTGGGTTTATGGGCTCTCTGGGAGGATTATAGGGTTATAACCTGGCCTCTTTCAGCCCGAGGGCCAAATTCCATTTCGGAAAAGCTCTCAGGGGTGCGGGACACGCTGGGGAGGGAGGGCCAAAGGCAAAAGGGACCACAAAGCCCAGCAAATTTTAGCTGAACACTCCTCCTGCGGGAGGGGCTGGCTTCAACAAAAGCTGGGAAGCCCCCAAAAGGTTGCAGGGGTGCAGGTGGCCCTCTTGGGGGGGGGAGCAATCATCAGCCCCAAAGGACAAGTACAAGACTCACGGTCGCGTGAAAGCTTCGAGGTCTGTCACAGCCTTGCCGTGACCCTTCGTGAAACAGCAGTGTTGACAGCTGTTTTATTTATTTATCTTTTTTGTATGTATATGCCACCCCAGATCGCCTGGGCTCTCTGGGCAGCTTACAATAAAGCAGCAAAACACAATAAAGCAAGAGCTAAAAGCATAAAATCCATCAGAGCAATACGAGATATAGTAATGGGCGCACTGTGGGGGAATCACGTTCTCCCAACAACTCGGTGAGGTGCTGAGTATCGGGAACGTGTGATTGGGGTGCAGCAGGGGTGCAGGAGGAAAGGCGTCCGTTTCGGAGCTTGCAGCTGGTGCTGAGTCAGTGCGGTTACCCAGCAGGAAAAGGGGCCTTGTGCAATAGCAAATCGACGTCGTCCCACTTCCACACCTCTGCTCCAAGGGAAGCTCCGAAGCCAGCAATTGCAGCAGAGCCTTATGGGTGACGGCCCCATCCCCGCTCCCCTGATTTATTTATTTAGAACTTTTCCAGCCCGTCCACCACTGAGAACAAGTAAAATAAAACGAAAGGAGCACGAAAGTCGAGATAAAACCCCCAGTTAAAACCAAGGAGACTTTAAAACGTTGTGTTAGTTGCGTCTCAGGGGTCCCCAGCGCAGCGCTCTAACCACTAGACCACACAGTACCGATGGGTACCGAGGCTGTTTCCGCTGCTGACCACTGATTGGCTCGCCCGTCGAAGCGCCTCTCCCATCGCCGACAGTCATTCGCTCCCGTCAGGGCAGGAGGCGGGGCGATTTAGCCCCGCCCCTCGCCTGAGAAAATGGCGCCTCGCCGGCCACCTTCACCGTTGGACTCTGCCCTTTCCCTTTGCGGCGCTCGCGGAGAGCGAGGGAGAGCGACTGCGCGTGCGCTGCCACTTCGCGCTCGCCGTCCCTCTCCGCCCGCCATCCGCGTTCACCGCGGCGCCCTTCGCGCGGAGAGGAAGTTTGTCCGCCCGACGCCCCGTAGCGCCGCTCCGCCCACGTTTGCCCTCGGATCGTCTCGACGGCCGGCCGCGGCGCGTGGCCGTCCGTAGCGCGCGCGCGTGCAGGGGAACGAGCCAGGGAGGCAGCAGCCGCCGCAGTCGCCGCGCGGGCGCGCGCAGTCCAGCCCCCAGCGCCCCCCCGGGCGCCTTCCTCCTCTCCTCTCCTCGCCTCCTCCTCCTCCTCCTCGTCGCCCTCGTCCTCCTTCCCCTTCAGCCATGTTGGCAGCCGCACAGCTCCTCCGCCGCTGCGTCGCCGCCGCCGCGCCCGCCGCCCGCGGCCTGGTCCCCCGCGCGTCCCCCGCAGGTGAGTCGCCGCGCGGCGGGGGCGCCTCGCCCG